TGAAGAGATTTAAATAGTCACCCTATTGTATCAACATGGAAAGTATCATGTTAAGTGAAATGAGTCAGAAAGAGAGGAACAGACACAGAAAGACTGCACTCATCTGTGGAAAATAAAGTAACAGAATGGGAGACTAACACCCAAGACCAGCAGAGGTAAGTACCAGGAGGATTACTCCACAGTTTAGGAGCCGGCCTCGGATGCTGGAGGAAAAGGCAGCTCAGACAGAGAAGGGAGCACCAAGTAGGAGGGCCCGCTTGGGTTGGGAGATGCGGGCTGAAAGGAGACTATAGACCGAACATGATGGTCACTTAATACCTCTAATGCAAACCACCACACCCAAAAGGAGAGAGAGAGCAAAAGGAAATGCCCTGCCACAGAGGCGGGGTGGGGGGAGGGAAGGGATGGGGTGGTGGGAGGAGTGCTGGGACCACTGGTGGTGGAAAATGGGCACAGGTGGAGGAATGGGTACTCGACCATTGTATGACTGAAACACAAGCACAAAAGTTTGTAAATCTGTAACTGTACCTCATGGTGATTCACTAATAATAAATAAATAAATAAACAGTCACCTTGGTCACAGACTCTAACCTTATGTTATTCGAAGTAAAGCATATTGCAGGACTGGAGAGAGTTCAACAGGATGAGGTTCACACAAGTCTTGTAGGAGCCCCAGGTTCAATCTCTGATTCTGCATGGTGCCCTGAGCACTGGCAGAAGTTACCCCACACTCTCCCAAAGCATCAAACCTGAAGTACCCTTGAACTGCCAGGTGTGACCCCAGAACCAAAAAGAAGAAAAAGTAATAATGCCAAAGCAGATCAGATATTACCTACATTGATCACTACACAGTACAGTTTCCTAACTATAAGGAAAAGGAAAAGAGAACAGAAATAGCACTGCTATGAGAACAGATATTGGAATGAGTCATTTTGAAAATCATTCTCAGGGTTCCTGAAAATGAAGTACAAAAGAGCAAACATGGAACTAGGGATTGCACAGCACTGGGTTTGGGGTGCACGCTTCCTCAAGGCTCACTTCTGGCATGGTCCAAATGTGGTCCCCTGAACATCGTGGCTTTGTGGCCCCAGAGGCTCCTGAGCATGCCCAGTGCAGCCTGGGCACTCCCCGGCACCATAAAGCCCACACAGCACCACACTCTGGGGCATGAGCACTAAAGCATCAGCCCAAATGGCCAAATTTCACCAGGAGTGACCCCAGGTGTTCTGAGTACCACCCAGGAGACCCCAAGGCCAACCAAAACAAACTCCCAAAAACCAAACAGGCAAACATTTATGAGAAATCTGCATAAAAGATCATTTTGGGGTGCCACGGTATTAATACAGCACCTTATAAAAGGTACAAGGTACAGTTGCCTTGCACATGGCTGGCTGGGTTCAATTCCCAGCACTTCATATAGTCCCCTAAGCCCTGCAGGGAGTGACCCCCGAGCACAGAGTCAGGAGTAAACCTTGAACACTGCTGGGCATAGCTCACAAACAAAATTAAAATAGTTTTTCTTTTATCTTTATGATTCACAAATTTTAATAATTCATTCCAAATTACAAATTAATATAGTTAGTGACTACTGAAAGGGAACAAGTTACTGTTCTTAATTAGTACATATAAGAAAAGAGCAATCAACTTTAAGGCAGTGTTAATGTCCTCTTATTCATCATTGCTTGCTTTGGATTTTGGGACACATTTGGCAGTGTTTGGAATCGAACCCTGGTCCTCACCCTGCTTTGCATGCATCCAATCTGTTGAGTATCTCTCTGGTCCCCTCTTCCATTTACTGACAGGAAAATAAACGTCACTCCAGTTGTCATGTTGTTATTGTTATTTCACACATAATCAGTTATAGGTAGAGTATTTTAAGAAGGTAGGCAATATATTTTAAGGTGCAGCTGACAAAGCATGCAATATAAACATACGGCTGGCAAAATGGTCCAGGTGACTTCTTGTAAGTTCTAAAAGATACTTAACTCAGGAAAAGTCTTCAATACATTTTTTTCCATTTTTTATAATTTTATTTATTGAATCACCATGAGAGCAGTTAAAAGCTTTCGGGTCTAAGTCTCAGTCATACAATTAAACACCCATACCTTCACCAGTGCTCATTCTCCACCCCCAACAACTCCAGTATACCCCCATCCCACGCCCTTCCCCTACCTGTGGGGCAGATGATTTCCACATTACTCTCTCTCTACTTTGATCACATTCAATATTTTGACACCAGACCCACCATTATTATTTCAGATTTTACCCCAACACTCAGATCTGCTGAAAAGGCAACAGTAGACAATTTGTTTTCTATTGCTGGTCATGAAAAACATATGATGTCGCATGGCTGCAGTAGTGGCCACGCGATTTTGAAATTCTGAAATTTTAACACTTAAATCTGGAGGGATTTCTGCTAAAACCTGCTGGGTTCCAAGATTTGCTCCTGAGTCTCTGGGATCATGGCCGTTAAGCAGCTTGATCAGGAGCCAGAAAGGCCGTTCGTGGGCAATGACTTGTGGTCTAGTTGGGACGGGGAGGACAGGACCAGCTCCACTCCTATCCCATGAGGCCCAAAATGTCTTGTCACTGCAGGCCCATACCTGACTGTCCAATGGCCTATGGAGGATGACAGCCACCAAGCCGCCGGGGGAAGCAGGCAGAGGAACAACACCCTTTCCCCCCTGGGGTGGCACGGCCACAGTAACCTACTGTGGGGTCCGGACGCATTTCTGCCAAAAGTTGCTGGGTTTAGAGATTTGTTTCTGAGTCTCTGGGATCATGGCCGTTAAGCAGCTTGATCAGGAGCCAGAGAGGCCGTTCGTGAGCAATGACTTGGGGTCTCGTTGGGACAGGGAGGACAGGACTGGCTCCACCCCCATCCCGTGAGGCCCAACAAGTTTCGTCACTGCAGGCCGAGGCCTGACTGTCCAATGGCCTCTGGAGGATGGCGACCACCGAGCTGTCAAGGGGGAACAGGTGGAGGGACAGCACCCTTTCCCCCCTGGGTGGCCCGGCGACAGTAACCTACTGCGGGGTCCAGACATATTTCTGCAAAAAACCACTGGGTTTCAAGATTTGTTTCTGAGTCTCTGGGATCATGGCCGTTACGCAGCTTGATCAGGAGCCAGAGAGGCCGTTCGTTGGGCAATGACTTGGGGTCTCATTGGGGTGGGGAGGACAGGACCGGCTTCATCCCCATCCCATGAGGCCCCGCGTGTCTTGTCACTGCGGGCCCAAACCTGACTGTCCAGTGGCCTCTGGAGGATGGCGGCCACCAGGCCGCCAGGGGGAACAGACCAAGGCACAAAACCTATTCCCACCTGGGTTGGCCCAGCACTGGTAACCTACTGCAGGGACCGGAGGCATTTCTGCCAAAAGCCGCTGGGTTTCAAGATTTGTTTCTGAGGCTCTGGCATCGTGACCATTAAGCAGTTCAATCAGGAACCAGAGAGGCCATGCCTCCAATTATATAGCTGACCCAGAGGTGGTTTGTGGGTGTGTTTCCCACATACCTAACTTTTGGCTGTTTACTTTCTTGGTAAACTTTGCCCCAAGTTTTTGGGGTGTGGCCAAAGGCACAGCAGCAATTTGGGGGTATCTGGAAGTTTGAATGTGCCATCAGGTTGCTGATGCACTCTACAATACTTTTTAAAATGTACCTCTATTTTTTGTTGTTGCTGTTGTTTGGTTGGGTTTTTTGTTTTGTTTTAGGGCCACATCTGGTGATGCTCAGGGGTTATTCCTGGCCTGCACTCAGGAACTGCTCTTGGCAGGCTTAGGAAACCACATAGGACGAAGGAGATTGAACCTAGGTAGACCACATGCAAGGCAAGCATCCTCCCCAGTATGCTATCTCTCTAGGCCATCTACCTTTTATTTTAAACCAACTTTTTTTGGAGTAAGTTTGATGTTTAGAAACTAAAGAGGCGGTATTACTAGACATTAAGGATCAGAGGAATAAATTGAGGGGTGAAGGGACAGGCAAGGCAGGTGGCTGACCCTGGTTCAATTCCTGCTGCTCTATGGTCTCCTGAGTGCCCTAAGGATGGGCGCTGGAGGCCTCTGAGCACTGCCGGTATGGACTGAGTGATCACAAGCACCACAGGATCCAAGGAGCAACAACCCTCAGGGCCTCCCACTGGCCGTCCGGAATGGGGACCCAAGAATCTTGGGAATATTCCCTGAGCTCAACTTGGGAAACCCCCTGAAACAACCAAAAATACAAGGCAAAGGAAATACCGAGAATTTGTAGTAGAGGAACAAGCAGTAATATTCTCTAAGAATTACATAAAATCCAAGATATCCATTGGCACATGGCATTCAAAACGCATATGGAAAATACTAAATACATATCAAGACAAAATTTCTTATGTTGGCAAGAGTTATCAAAAATTATACCACAGCAAGAATGTCTAACAATTTTTAGTAATTTTATAATTATAATATGGGTGGTAAGTAAATTTGTTCATAGTCCTTAATTTGGGGCTAAACCACACTGGCTACAAGAGGACTCTAACAGTGATAATCACATAGCATACGACTCTAAAACAACCTCACTCAAGCTGAGCAATATTCTTATCTAATTATTTTTTTTTTGGTTTTACTTGTTTTTTGTTTTTGGGTAACACCCAGCAGTCCTCAGGGCTCATGCTTGCTCTACACTCAGGAATTACTCCTATGGGTAGTCAGGAAACTACATGGGATGCCAGGGATTGAACCCAGGTTGGCCACATGCAAGGCAAGAACCTTACCCACTGTACTATCACTCTGGCCCCCAACAAATGATATTTTTACATGTCTTTTAATCCTTCTTTGTCCAATGTCATCCAGACAGCTGAGAGAGCTGGTTTGTAAAATGTTTATCAGCACTTTCTTAAAATTTCCTGTACCTGCTTGGCTCATATTTCACTTCAAATTACATTTATTTTTGTTTGAGAATCAAGAAGAAAAGGGATCATGAGAACTCAATTGAGAAATCATTACAATCAAGTTCTTACCTATTCAGCAATTAATGAAGACTAATTTGCTCTTCTCTTTCAATCTCTGCTCAGTCAATTCAGTTTCTTTTTAATTTCTTCAGTCACTCCATTTGGGGAGGGTTGTTACGCATTTGCTACCTAGGTGAAGTATAAGAACAAGAAAAGACAAAAGTAGAAATCAGATGTGAGACTCGAAAGATATGAAAAAAAAATCTGAACAAAAAGTTTTGTAAAATTACAAACTATTAGTAAAAGGGCAAAAGGAACAAAAGCCTTTCAGACACTCTATGACCAATAGTCACAAGCTCAAGATACACACACACACACATACACACACATACACACACATATATACATATATACACATACATTTATATATGTGTAATATACAAAACAAAATATAAGTAGAAACAGTCATTTATTTATCAAGTCCACTTAGATAAGAAAGACAAAAGAAAATGTTTAACATTCGCAATTAAGAACCTAATTTGTCTCATTTTATCTCACATTAGGGCTGGAGTGATAGCACAGCGGGTAGGGCGTTTGCCTTGCACACAGCCAACATGGACGACCCGAGTTCGATTCCTCAGCCCCTCTCAAAGAGCCTGGCAAGCTACCGAGGGTATCTCGCAGGCAAAGCCTGGCAAGCTATCCATGATGTATTCGATATGCCATACACAGTAACAACAAGTCTCACAATGGAGACGTTACTGGGCCCGCTCAAGAAAATCGATGAACAACGGGAGTACAGTGACAGTGACACACAGTGATCTCACATTATCTCAATTAATGAGCCCATCATCATGACCAGAAAACCTCAATTATCGCGACCAGCTCATTATCTCGACCACCAAGCCTTATCACAACCAGCAAGCCTCGTTATCTTTTCTGACCTTCATCTCTCAAATTTCCAATCAGTCAAGCTCTTTCTAGCCCATCATACATAGTTTTGTTCCTTTTCCCTTTCAAGACACAATAATTTCCTCTTTCTATTCTATGTTCCTCAATTTTTTTTTAAAAAAAGCATGTAAATTTAAGTAGTTTTTTATTTAAGCTTTATAAACTGACAAATTAAGAGGAGAAATTTAATAATCTCTCTCAAATAAATTCAGTTTATAATTTGTGATGTTTCCTAGTTCCCTTTGAGATGAGAAAACATCTTTCTAATCTTTAGGTATAGTTATAATGGTGAGTAAAAAATTCATACTAGTCATTTGTTTTGCATTTTCAAATCTGCTAGAACCTTCATAAGTATACTAAACGACTATAATTCCATCAGCAGTAACATAGATAGCCAAGCTGAGCCTTGGTGGTAGAACACCGGCCTTGCATATAGAGTCCCTAGATTTGATCCTTGTTAACCCCCCGCCCCTGACACACACACACACACACACACACACACACACACACACACACACACAAAGAGAAAAACAAAAGAAATATATACTTTAACCAGTGCTCCAGTTTTACAATCCTACATGGGCCAAAAATATGGTGTATAAGAGTTTAAAAAGTATTCATTAAGGGTCAGGAGAGATAGGCCAGTGTGTGAGTCACTTTTCTTGCATGCAGCCAACCCAGATTTGATGCTTGACACCACTTAAGTTCCCCTGAGCATCATCAGAAATGATCCCTGAGCACAGAACCAGGAGTAAACCCTGAGCAATGCTGACCCCAAACCTACATCTTATAGATGGCATATATGCATATGTATATATGTATATATTTGTTAACTGACAAACTTATTCAAGCATGTGGTACCAAATATAATGTCTTTTAAAAAAAATTTTTTTAACAACCAGGAGCAAATTTCTGAACCTCAACTAGAGGGCTGGAGCTATAGCACAGCGGGTAGGGCATTTGCCTTGCACGCAGCCAACGTGGCCGACCCGAGTTCGATTCCTCCGCCCCTCTCAGAGAGCCCGGCAAGCTACCGAGAGTATTCGATATGCCAGACACAGTAACAACAAAGTCTCCAATGGAGACGTTACTGGGCCCGCTCGAGCAAATCGATGATCAACGGGAGGGCCTTTACTTTACTTTTACTTTAACTAAATACTATAAATACTTAAATACTGTAGTTGTTGAGTGTAGGACAAGACATAAACTAGATTAGAGTCTAGTATTATTATCATTAATCTTAGGTAAAAGGTCACTGTCACTGTCACTGTCCTCCCATTGCTTGATTTGCTTGAGCAGGTCCAGTAACATCTCCATTGTGACACTTGTTACTGTGTCTGGCATATTGAATATGTCACGGGTAGCTTGCCAGGCTTTGCCGTGTGGGTGATACTCCCAGTAGCTTGTTGGGCTCTCGAAGAGGGGTGGAGGAATCAAACTCGGGTCGGCCGTGTCAGCCGCATGCAAGGCAAACGCCCTACCCGATGTGCTAGGTAAAAGGTTAAAAAAAAAAATGGGCCTTACCTAAATTAGAAATTTATTGGATCAGTAATTGATTCATTCACTAAATTTTTTATAACTACTGAGACTTGATACTACTCTAGGAGCTGGTGAGAATGCTGATGAAAGCAATAATTTCTCGGAATTTTTTACATCTCCTATGCTTTTAGGACACTCTGAGTCATTGCTTCTTCCATGGCCCATCTTTCTATGACCCAGCTTCCAAGCACTCACATTTACCATGTGCAGTTTCCTCGCCAGCCATAGCAGTGACTCCCCCCACCCCCACTATACTGACCCTTCCCCTCCAACTCCTTGGAAACTAGCCTTACTTCAGCATCAGCCCTCTATGGGTATTTGAAAGAAAATAAATTTTACTCATATATCATATTCACATACTGACCTTCTTTTAAAAAGATTTAATCCATATCAGGTAAACTTGCCCTGGTTTTTTTTTTTTTTGGGGGGGGGTCGGTGGGAGGTTGAGCCACAAATGGCAATGCTCAGGGGTTACTCCTGACTCTGCACCCAAGCGCGTGCGAGGCAAATGCCCTAGCAGCTGTGCTATCATCTCTCCAGACCACAAATTTGATGCTGAAAAGTAAGTCTTATGAACCCAAACTATGTGGGTAAAATTTGTTGAGCAAGTGAGCCTACGTGTCCCTTAGCCTACCTTGGAAACCATCTCACCTCTTAATATCAGTTTTCAAGCAAAATCTAGCAAAAAATAAAAACTCAGTAAGTCGACAGCTCTATTAGATTAACAACCCCAGATCTTATTAGTCATAGTCTAATGCCTCATTTAAGTCCAAAAAGGCTGGAGTGCAGAAGATGGTTTATTTAAGGATGCCCTGATAGTCAGAGACTACGTAAGAACTCTATTCCCCACCCTCCCCCCGCTTTTTCTTTTCTGAGCCACACCCAGCAATGCTCAGGGCTTACTACTGGCTCTGCACTCAGGGATCACTCCACACTTGGGGAAATTATATGTGGTGCCGGGGATCTAACCCAGGTCAGCTATGTGCAAGGCAATTGCCCTACCCACTGTGCTATCTGTCTGAACCCAAGAACTCTAAACTCTTAACCCAGTGGTTTCCTTACACTTGACCACCAGTCCTAATCCAACAATATTACATACAATAAGACATTCTGAGACCAAACAAAACAAAAAAACCCACACCATCACTTTTATTACAGTTCAATTCTTTCGCCCCTCTCAGAGAGCCCAGCAAGCTACCAAGAGTATCTCGCCCGCACAGCAAGGCCTGGCAAGCTACCCGTGACATATTCGATATGTCAAACACAGTAACAAGTCTCACAATGTTACTGGGCCCGCTCGAGCAAATCGATGAACAACGGGAGGACAGTGACAGTGACAGTGACACTGTCATAATTATTCTACTTTTTGTTTTGCGGCCACAACCAGCTGTGCTCATGCTTTACTCCTGGCTCTGCTCTCAGGGGTCATTTCTGACATGCTCAGGGGACCAATGCAGTGCTGGAGATAAAACCAGAGCTGGCTGCAGGCAAGGCAAGCACCCTCACCTCTATTGCTCCAGTCTTCTTATTTGCTATTTCTCTCTCTTACCAGAACTAGTTTATAAATTAAACTTTATCGTAAGCCTGTATGTCTAGGGAAAAATAAGTCCATATATTTCAAGGACTACTATTCTGGGGTTCAGGTACCCACTAGGAGGGTCACAGAATGTATTTCATCAGATGAGAACATCTGTGTGTGTGTGTTTGTGTGTGTGTTTTAATTTTGTATGGGAGTCACACCAGTGGTGCTCAGGGCTTACCCTGGCTCGGCACTCAGAAATCACTCCTGGCTGTGCTCCGGGGACACTATGGGATGGGGGAGGGGTGTTAAAGCCTGATCAGTCATGTGCAAGGCAAGTGCCCTACCTCTCTGAACTGGACAACTGTATTCTGATGAGGATATTACCTGTAATGAATGCTACTGAATTAACACTGACCCAGGGCACATCTTAAGACCTCTTTCAAAATTGTCACATATTATCCATAATCAGTAAATGGTTTGTAGACAACAGATTCATAAAGATATCTGGTAAATTTACATTTCATCATATTTATGGGGCTGGAGCGATAGTACAACAGGTAGGGTGTTTGCCTTGCATGCAGCCAACTAGCATTAGATCCCTGGCATTCCCAAAGCGCCACCAGGAGTGATTACTGAATGCAGAGGCAGGAGTAACCCCTGAGCATCACTGGGTGTGGACCCCTGCCCCACTATGTCCCAAAATATTTTTATATTTCATATACAAAACAGCTACTAGGAACAAATCACAATGAGAAACTACTTACACATTACTGAAGGTCACGGTGAAAATGATACCCAGATCTCAATTTGTGAATTCTACAAGCTTCAGTTTTGGAGAATACTGTGCTGAAAAAAATTGAGGTCAAATTAATTTCAATTAAATATTTCCGCCTCAGTGATCTATGAAAGCTTAAAATTTTGTTAACAATGATGATTTTCAAATAATATGGTTGTAAATATTGTTTTCACCTGGCCAGAGGCCAATAAGTAATTTTCAAATACCAGCTCTGTCAGAAAGCATAATTTCAGTCAAGAGTAGACATAGATGGGGCTGGAGCAATAGCACAGCAGGTAGGGCATTTGCCTTGCATGTGGCCAACCCGGGTTGGATTACCAGCATCCCATATGGTCCCCTGAGCACCGCCAGGGGTAATTCCTGAGTGCAGAGCCAGGAGTAACTCCTGTGCATTGCCAGGTGTGACCAAAAAAGCCAAAAAAAAAAAAAAAGAATAGACATAGAGAGGAAGGAGATCTAGCACAGCAAGGAACACACCTTCCTTGCACGAGGCCAACCTGGATTCAAGTCCCGGCTCTTTACATTGTCCTCCAAACACCACTAGGAATGACCACTAAACAGACCACAAAGGCAGAAGTAAGTCCTAAGGACTGACAGGTATGACACTCCCAAACCCCAAAGGGAAGAAAAAAACCCAACAGATCTACATAGTGGAGGGAAGCAGTCGGTTTGATGGAGGATGTGTCACTAATTCGTCGATTGCCTCGAGCACGCCCCAGTAACGTCTCCTTCATCCTAGCCCTGAGATTTTTAAAAAAGTGCCATATTCAAGGCTCTTTCAGAGTTAGGAGAATGAGACCCACCATTGTTACTGGTGTTTGGCATATTGGGTATGCCACGGAGAGTTTGCCAGACTCTGCCGTGTGGGCAGGTTACATCTGGTAGCCTGCCAGTTTGTCCAAAGTAGGAATGAGATAATAAAATGTCATAATAAGATGTCCCACGGCCGCGATGTTTTATTCATAAAACCATACCATTAATGGTTTTATAAATCATGGTGCCTAACATGGGGTGGAGCGATAGCACAGCGGTAGGGCGTTTGCCTTGCGAACAGCCAGCCCCGCTGAGCCGGGTTCAATTCCTCTGCCCCTTTCGGAGAGCCCGGCAAACTACCGAGAGTATCTCGCCCGCACAGCAAAGCCTGGCAAGCTACCTGTGACATATTCAATATGACAAACACAGTAACAACAAGTCTCACAATGGAGTCGTTACTGGGCCTGTTCGAGCAAAGCGATGAACAACGGGGTGCCTAACATAAAATTAAAATTTTTTTAAAGAAGCTTAAAAATGAATAAAATATGTATTTTAAAAAAGCAAACAAGAGAGGGATCAAGCCAGATATTTGTAAAACAAAATAAGGACAGAAAAGAATTAAGCATAGGGACCACAGCAATGGGTATAGTCGGTAGGGTTACCGTGCACATGACCTACCCGAGTTTGATCCCTGGCACCCCATATAGTCTCAGCACCACCAAGAGTGATCACTGAGTGCAGAGCCGGAAGTAAACCCTGAGTACCATCCTGTGTGGCCCCAAAACAAACTAAACAAAATGAAACCAATAAAGGTTTGTGTATAAAAACAAGAAGATGAGGAAGAAAAGCATGCTATCTCTGGGGCATTGTGTACTCAGCACTTAGTACTTTTTTCATTAAAAAAGTGAGCATACAATTTATTTAACTTTCAAACTTCATTAAGGTATATCCCATGTGGCAATCTGACAAGGGTTTGACTCTCGAGGGTAGGAGGATTTGCTGGGGCTTAGCACTGTAAAACAAGGACAGAACTCCACCTCAGTCTCATTGGAAACTTCAGTCAGCCAATATGGAATGCTATTATGTATATTCTTCAAGTATTTCCTCAAGTCTTATTGCTGACAGTGAGCAAAAAAAAAGAATGTAAACACTGACTGGCTAAAATATTTAAGCAATTCAACAGTAGATTACAAAAAAAAAAGTTTCTAGTTGAGATATTCTATGTGAAATCCAAAATATATGTATAGTTAAAAAATTGCTTTGATTATATTGCCAGAAAATTGGGTTTGTGTAGATGCAATTATGAAGGTACTATGTAACCAGTTTCAAATAACATTTTCTGCTACATGGATTTTCTTAATATACAAAGCACACTGTTTGGCCATAATTCGATGCTCCATTAAACTTAATATTTCTTTATTAATTAAAAACCAAAGAGCCGTTTCCCTAATGCTAAAAACACTTACTTTCCAGTTGCGTTCACAATAGCATAACTTATTTTTGTCAGAATAAACTGGATAAAGCCTTAGTCCATGAATTGTACAACAATGGACCCATTATCCTAATTCCCTGATTTTCTAATACACACAAGATGAGACTGATACAAAACTTCCATCACGGCAGTGTCTGCCAAGTCCTCTGCCACTGCGAACTGTCTGAGAATGATGGCCTCACTGGCCATGTGTGGCTGAGGAAGACTGAAAGTACAATGAGACTGAACTAATCTCGAAGAGACCCCAAGCCGCTGAAGAGTCCCAGGCTGAGGCCTCTGGAGTCTTCTCGGGATGGGGGTGGCCGAGTCCCCACCCTGCCAGGGGCCGAGCACCCCACCACACCGACAACCTCTGGCAGATCAACAGCCCAGCTTCACAGCTCCATGGCTAATCTTGAAGAGACCCCAAGCTGCTGAATGCTCCCAGTCCCACAGCTCCTGGATCGTAAAGCCACACAGGTGGCCAGTGATACCTCCACATTTCACAGTCCTGGACGGCCTGGACAGAACGGAGCAAATTAGGTGGGAAAGTTGCCTAGAGGCCCACTGAGCTCAGTGAGCAAAAAAATAATACCGAAGGCTCATCTAGCAACAAACAGTTTTGTGAACCCTCAATGACTTAAATAGCACCATAGTGAGATATAACAACTTTCACAAATTTTCTTTCACTGAACTTTTTCTTTTTTGCTTTCTGGGTCACACCTGGAGATGAACAGGGGCTACTCCTGGCTCATGGACTCAGGAATTACTTCTGGCGGTGCTTAGGGGACCATATGGGATGCTGGAAATCGAACCCGGGTCAGTCGCGTGCAAGGCAAATGCCTGACCCGCTATGCTATTGCTCCAGCCCCATTGAACTATTTTTTGATAATTCCATTTGCCTTTTTTTTTTTTGTAATAAGCACCATAGCTCGGGCAGGCCCAGTAACGTCTCCATTGGAGATTTTGTTGTTACTGTGTTTGGCATATCGAATACATCACGGGTGGCTTGCCAGGCTCTGCTGTGTGGGCGAGAAGCACCATAAAGTAAATTACTTTGTGCCTGCTCAGGAGCAGGTGGTGGGAAACTGTGGACATTGGTGGAGGGAAGGTCACGCTGGTGATGGGACTGGGATGGGAACACTGAATGCCTGAAACAAGTGGATTAGAAACAACTTTGCGAATCCTGGTGTTTAGTAAAACCTCAAACATAAAAGAAGAGAGAAAACATGTGAGATCAACTCAGCAGAGTTCCCTCTTGTGCATGGAAAGTTGTGCGTGGTGGCAACATGCCAATGGTCGTCGTGCAGCTACATGTGCTGGAGTTTCTTTCCACACACAGGTGCCTTGACGTTGCTCTTATTTTGAACCGAACATTTTAATCTGGGATCATCGTGGATTTATATTTAGCTGTGAGATATAATGCGGATCTGGTACACCTTTTACCCCGCTCCTCCTCATACAGCATCCATCAAAATGATCACAGAATTTCACATTTGGGAAATGGATGGCGGTGCCCTCACTTATTCTGATTTCCTCAGTTTTTCTTGTCTTTTTTTTTCCTGACATGTACCATTTGCTTACAAGTGTGTGTGCATGCATGCATGAATGAACACTTGGTTCTACACAGCCACACGTGTGGCTTCATGTACTCCATTACTAAAGATAACCAACAACCTGTCACAAGTATTCCTAGTGCCAACCTTAACACGTACACACCCACTTGGCTCCAACCCATTCCCATTCCCTGCCACAGATCGCAATCCCTATAGAGTGATAATAGTTTTTATCTGAAAGCATCATATAAAAGGAAAGCAAGCCTATGAGAGAAAAAGACAGTATCTATGAAATGATACCCCCTTACAAAGTGCTACAGAAACAAATCCCCCCAAAGTATATGCATATAAGGTAGAAAAAACCTTTTTGGTCCCATTTACTCAGTCATCTAAACTGCTAATTTATTTTGGGGGTTGGGGGGAGCTTCTTAGCTCCTCCAGTGACTCCTAGCCAACAAGATTGACAGTTTAGTGTGAGGGCCCCAGGCCACAGCTGCTTGGGTGAGCTGGTGACCACCCAGGGCCACCCTGGCAATGCTCAGGGAACTCTCTGGTTCTGGCCAGAAAGTCAACAGGAGTGGTCATGCTTGCTTTAGCAGTGCCTATACAGACACACTGGCTGCATGCAGGACAGGTGCCCTTTCCAGCCCTAGAATGTGCTATTTAAACATAACTATACAGTGGAAATGGCACCAATGCATACACTGAAGATAAGACAGAAAAGATCGATCACAGTGAATTAGGGCAATCTTCACGGGGTCAATTCCAGATTAGAACTGAGAAGCAACATAAGCTAGTACCTTGGAACCATTAATGAGTCTTTTCTTGTGCTCAGGAGTGACCTGGCCCTCACTCAGAAATGATGCTAGAACTGAAGTCGCTGGTAAACTCAGATTAGGTCTAAACAGCCACAGTTTGAGACACTTCTATCTCTCCACATGGGCAACATACACAGGGACAGAGTCCTGTCTTTCATTTCTTCTTATTCTCTTTCAAGCATAGCAATTATAAACACATGGTATGTGGTATGTTAACATGATTGAATACAAGAAGTCAGTACAGTGAAAACATGACAGGAACACAGATTTGATGCTGGAGAAGATCCCAGCATCAAAGAAGGCATTTAGTTTTAATTCTTTCTATAACTAAAAAAATTAATGCATTGGTGTTAAACATTCTGTAAGTTCCTGACTCATTAAAGAAACTTATTTTAAAACAGCTTTGGTGGGTTTCCCAAGTGGTACTCAGAGGGCCAGGGGCCAAAGGTGCT